CGCTAGCCCTAGGATTATTCTTGTGTCTTGCCCGCCATATACCTGTTTGCCCTTGTTCGACCCTGCCTGTGTTTCTGACTTCTCTGCTTAATAAAGCCTGCACATGGATCCGCATGTCTCACGTCTTGTCAGCCCCGTAACAGACACGCTGTGAAAATGTAACTTTCAGAAATTAAGCTAAGCAGCAAAAACCTATGTGTTTTAAACAGCACCTTAATTAACAGGGTCAGAGAGTGGAAAATAGAGGTGTAAACCAACAAATTATGACTATGCAAAAAAAAAAATCTTAACAAATATTATATTCATGCACTGTATTTACAGGTGCATCTCAATAAATTAGAATGTCATGGAAAAGTTCATTTATTTCAGTAATTCAACTCAAACAAATTGTGAAACTCGTGTATTAAATAAATTCAATGCACACAGACTGAAGTAGTTTAAGTCTTTGGTTCTTTTAATTGTGATGATTTTGGCTCACATTTAACAAAAACCCACCAATTCAATATCTCAACAAATTAGAATATGGTGAAATGCCAATCAGCTAATCAACTCAAAACACCTGAAAAGGTTTCCTGAGCCTTCAAAATGGTATCTCAGTTTGGTTCACTAGGAATTTATTGAGATGCACCTGTATTTCCTTAAGTGCTAAAAATTATGATTTTACCCTTTAAAGCTTGATAAGAAAGCATCCGCTGCTTAGAACAACAGTAAATGTCAGCTTATTCATGCCCAGGCCTTATAATAACTCATAAGTCTGTCTTTCCCTAACACACATTCATCATCTGAGACAGGACCCTCATTTGAAATGAAGTTGAATTCAAGTCTGAATTCATTGTGTGTATGTTGAGATGTGTTTACTATTGGGGACCAAATGTCCCCACAAATATAGTGAAACCTCATAGTAAAATTACCACGAAACAGGCGAACACATAGTAAATAATATCTTAAATAATATGTGAAAATGAAATACTTCTTTGAGTATTAGGTTGAGGGGATAAAAAATATGTAATTAGTTGTGTGACATCCCCAAATAGAAAAAAAAATAAAATAAACAACACTGTTTTGATGGGGAAAAAATAGTTTAGAGTTAGTAAGACTATGGTACTGTATGTACTTATTTACACTCTCATTAAAACAAGTAAACGTGTCTTACAGAGGCCTGATGAGGAAGCTGTGGTGGACCATGGTGGCACCAGCTCAGTTCTGAATATCCATTATGAGAAAGAAGAGCTTGAGGGTTAGTATGTACGGTGACGCATTGCTGCCACACACATATTATTTTTTCCACTCAATTATGTCATAATAACCAGATGTTTTCTCGTTAAAACGACATCTTTTCTCGTAATAACGACATGTTTTCTCGTTAAAACGACATCTTTTCTGTAAAAACGAGATGTTATGTCGTTAAAACGACATCTTTTCTCGTAATAACGAGATGTTTTCTCGTTAAAACGACATCTTTTCTCGTTTTAACGACATCTTTTCTCGTTTAACGACATCTTTTCTCGTAATAACGAGATGTTTTCTGGTTAAAACGACATCTTTTCTCGTAATAAGGAGATGTTTTCTCGTTAAAACGACATCTTTTCTCGTAATAACGAGATGTTTTCTCTCGTAATAACGACATATTATGTCATAAAAACGATATGTTTTCC